CTCTTGGGAGTCTCTTGGGGCTCCTTGGCGGCGTTTTGGAGGCCCCCAGGGCCTCTTGGGGGGCTCTTGGGGGTAGTCGATTGCGGCTCCCCCCTCGGAGGCCACGATCCTCGTGAGGGGTGTCGAAAAATACCCTCCCCTGGAGTGGTCTGGGGGCTTCTGCCGGGCTTCTCTCGGGACCTTGCCGGGGTACTTTTCGTCCGGGGGCCCCCAGGGGCCGCTCCGCGCGCGCGAACTGGAAATATTGTTAACAAGGTACCGGAGATCTTAGCACGCCTCTGGCCCGTTGGGCCGGCGAATTTGCCGAACGACTTTGGGCGGCTCGACGGGTGCCAGCTGCACGACCCGCAGCAGAACGGGTTCGGGCTGTAGTTCTGAGGCGGGCCTCACACCGTTGGTCCAGGCAGTCCGGAGTAAGGGTTCCAGGCTACCTGGCGGTTGGAGGCCGGGACGTCCTGCGCGAGCATTTGCCCCCTATCACCCCCTCTTTTTCCTTGCTCTCTCCTCTCCTTCCCTGCCCTCTTTTTCCAATTGCTGCTGTGGCACTGCTTGCACACTGGCCGAGGCCGTCCCCTCGCCTGGCACTGCCCGACCTTGCGGGCCGCCGCGATTCCTGGGCCCGTCTCAGGCTTGCATCGTGTTTTCGGCGGGGCTTGGCTTTTCCATGGCCGCCCTAGAACATGTTGATTATGTCGTGTGCTTCGCACCCAGATTTCTAGCATTGCTATATGCCATCCGTGCTCGCGGGCCTGCCGGGCGCGTCATTATAGTTGTTGTGGGTGTTTGTGTTTGCGTTTCTCTCTGTAGTTATCTCTGGTTATGGCCCCTCCGTTTCTGTTTATCCCCTCCCATTATTGCTTCTTGCTCCCGTGCGATAGTAATCCGGGCATTATTGCTATTAGCCGCGTGGCCGCTTAGGCTGCAAATTGTTTTTGGTACTGTACTATGCCCTCACGCTAGTCCGTACTCGCGTCTTTGTGTGATGCCTTGTTCTATTAATGGTCGGATGGGCCATGTGGGGACGCACACACACACACCGCCTGTATCAGTCTCTCTCGCCCCCCTTCTGTCCTCCCCTCCTCGTCCTCTCCTTCTTCCGCCTCCTCCATGTGACATGTTTGCAGCTGGCCAGGTGCTCCGATGCACGCTGCGGGGCAGCATTGCTATGGCGGTTTGCAGTCTGGGATATCGTGAAGTCAAAGATGGAGATGCTTCGCGCCGCTGCTCAGGAAAAACAGACATGCGTGGTAGAGGACCGCGTGCGGAGGTCGCGCCGCTGGATGACCCAGAAAGTCAATGAAAAACTGCAGCCCCTGCCCCCAGCACAACGATTATAAGTAACACCGGCGCCGCATTAGACTGCCAGATCGGGGGTCGACAGATTCACTCCTGCTTCATATTTCAGTCGACGGTGTTGGTTCTTCCTCGCAGCGCGCGGAAAGGCTGCGATGCACCTTTGCTCGCCCCAGGAGGGGTCCGATTTTCCCAGAAGATCCTGTGGCAAAATATTTTGCGTTCAGTATCCATGCCACGAGGTTTATTTTTGCAAGAGTCTCGCTTTTGCTTAAAGCTCGCTGTTTTGTACTACGAATTCCTTGCCCTGTACTACGGATCCCGGGTCCTTCGATGTTGGGCCGCTTCCCCCTCCATCCTCCTTGCTCCCTCTCTCCTCCTTGATTTACTCTTCTACCGCTGCTTCTGCTCTCCTATCTCGCCCGCCCCTCCTCTCCCGTCGTCCTGCCCCCCCCCCCTCTCTCTTTACCCAGTCCGTCGTCCTGGAAACTCCCCCCCTTCGAAAGGGTGGGTGGGTGGGGGGGGGAACACCCTCCCTTTCCCCCTCCTCTGGCCACGTCGCCCCCCTGGCTCTGGAACCCTACCCCCTAACCTCACCACCCTAACCGTGGCACCCGAACTCTAGCCCCCCTACCGCCCTAACCCTAACATTCTGACGCCTCAACACCCTAACACCGGAACGCCGTAATGTTCTGACCCGAACACCACAGCCCGAACATCTTTACCCTAGCACCCCAAATGCCCTGACACCCTGGCCCTAGCACCCTAGACCGGACTGGACCACCACAAGCCCCAACCCGAACACCCTAATCCGATTTCTACCGCCTTAGCCCTAACCCCCGAACTCACCTAGCCTTATGGTTTCATTCCGAGCCCCACTGCCCGAATCCGAACCCTGCCATCCTAAATGTAACACCTTGCCCTTCACACCGTTATCCTAACACCCCAACGCTGCCCCAACACCGTAACGCTGACACCCTGGCCCTAGCACCCGAACCCATTCACGCTAAGCCCACTGCCCTAACCCTAACGCACTAAGCCGAACACCCGAAACCTAACACCTTATCTAACACCCGAACCCTAATACCCTAAGCCTAACATCCGAGGGAACGCGATCCGCCGTCGCTGGCCTGAGTCAAATTGTAATGGTGGGTCAGAAACCAGGGTTTCTTTTCTTCGCCCAAATTAAACAAGTCCTGATGGGGGGGTCAGAAACCAAGGGCCCCCCGTTCCCTAACCACTCTTCAATTCCCCCCCCCCCGCAAAGTACGGGGCGGCTTCCGGACCCCCCCCCAGACACTTAGTCGGGGAGGTCCAGAACCCCCCCCCCTTCGAGGAAAATGATTCGGAAGGTCCAGGATCCCCCTGGCAACGACGCCTACGACGACGCCAGCGACGGCGACAGCGTCAACGGCTGCGGCGGCGCACCTGACGCCGGTGCCTTGACCAGGCGCCGGCTCTGATAGAACGCTCGTGGGGCTCGATCCACTTCCTCAGTATCTTAGTAGGGCATTGCTGTACTGCCTCTATACAGCTCAGCTCTACTCTAGTCTGCTCTGATCTACTCTACCCATCTACTCATCTCTATGCGACTTTCATCCAGTTCAAACTGATTTACTCCTCCGTACTCTATTTCACCCTACCCTGCTCTATTTCACCCTACCGTATCCCGCCCCATTCTACTCGACCCCATGTGACTCGATTGATTCTACCACACAGGGTAAAATTACCTTGTGACGTACCCAACCCATTTGCATCAACTGACAAGAGGACCTGGCCCAGACTTGCCAGGACAATGGCAGTGCTAACGCCGTTATATGTTGCGCAAGAAGCATGGGATGCGCTGACGTGGCACGATTCACAGCACAACAGCCGAACGACCAGGAACGAGGACCCAGGCTTGAGGAGGACATGGGGCAGGAACGAAGGGCAGGAAAAGGACGCCCGGGGAGCCGAGCCGTCAGCGCGGCAGCAGCAGAGAGAAGGTAGCAGGGGGCAGAGGACGACGACGGAAGTGTCGGTAAGAAACCGAAGTGCGTTGCGTTAGTCGATCGCGCGCGAAAGACTCAGCGCAGCCTGCGCCATGTCGCTGCGGCGCTTAAAATAATAATGATATTAATAACGATGAGAATAATAAAAGTGATAACAATGATAATAACATGCTGACATTTAGTGCAAGAAGCGAGCGAGTCCTAGCTCGCCCGCCAGCTTCTCTGCTCCCTTCCTGCACTTTTCAGTGCGGGAGCTAACCGCTCGAAGGCGCGCCGCCAGGTCTACCCTGCACCCTTGCCCGGACTCTGACCCCGGAAATCGAAACAACCCTCAGGGAACAGAAGAACTGCGTCACTCCACCGGACCCCAGGGATGGCAAGGTCTCCTGATGGCCCGCGTGAGAATTCACGTCGCTGGACCCCCCAGCAGCCTTCTAAAGTGGCGACTGTTTCGCAGATCGCAGCCCCCTAGGGATGGCGAGGTTTCCTGGTGGTCTGCGTAAGACGCCACTCTGCTGGAGCTCGCAGCAGCCTTCGAAAATGGCGACCGTTTCGCAGATCGCAGCCCAATCGGGATGGCGAGGTTTCATATGAATTTTGGTGTGATGTCACTCCGATGGACCGCCGAGCAGCCCCCGAACGTGGTGACACTCGCACATCGCAGCCCCGCAGGGATGGCGAGGTTTCATCTGCATCTGGGTAGGACGTCCTTCCGCTGGACCCCCAGCAGCCCTCGACAATTGTGACATTTTCGCACATCGCAGCCCCCCAAGGATAGCGAGGTTTCATCATAATCTGGGTAGGACGTCGCCCCGTTGGACCCTTTTTTCCAGCCCTTGACAGTGGCGACAGTTTTGCAGATCGCAGCCCTCCAGGCATGGCGAGGTCTCATCTAGGCTGGGTAAGACGTCGCTCCGCTGCCCCCCCCCCCCCAACAGCCCTCGAAACTGGCGACGCTCTCGCAAACCGCAGCCTTCCGGGGATGGCGATGTCTCATCTGACTCTGGTAAGACGTCACCCCGTTGGACCCTCGACAGTGGCGGCTTTGCAGATCGCAACTATCGCGAGGTCTGATTCAGGCTGGGTAAAACGTCATTCCGCTGGACCCCCCAGCAATTTTCGAAAGTGGCGACACTTGCGCAAATCGCAACCCCAGGGATGGCGAGGACTCCTCATAATCGGGGTAGGATGTCACTCCGCCGGACCCACCAGCAATCGTTGAAAAGGCGACAACGTCGCATATCGCAGCCCCCCAAAGGATGGCGAGGTCGCACCTGAATCTGGGTAGGACGTCGCTCTGCTGGACTCCGCGGCCGCCTTCGAAAGTGGCGACTGCTTCGCAGGATGCCCAGGTAGGAGGCAAGCTGGCACGCAGGAGGGAACGATGTCAGAGGCAGGAGAGGAGAAGAGAGGAGGCGGGAGGCGGGAGGAGAAGAAGCTCGGGCAGTGCTCTATTCAAAACCAGAACCCAACGCAGGAGGACAGGGTTGAATTATTGTACCGTGCGCTACTTATTATATGATACGCCTACTCTATGTTGCTCGTCGTCGTCTTCGTCCTTTTCGTTTCCGTCGTCGTTTTCGTCGCTGTCGTCGACTTACGTCGTGCGTCGTCGTTCTCGTTGTCGTCGTCGTCGTCGTCGTCGTCCGCGTCGTTCGTTTGCTGGTGGCGTCAACGTCGATGACGCATGGCCGATGATGCTCCTCTCGTGCCGAGGCCAGACATTGGACACTGCTCGCCTCCATCCCCTCGGTGGCATGCGTGGTCACTTGGCTACACATCTGGATGGCGATCAGAATGATGTTCTTGCCGCTGAGGCTCCCTCCCCGATGCTCGCAGCGGTGTTTCAGATTGCGCGCAGCTGGAAAAATTGACTGGCGGTCGACCCTGCTGCTCTAAACATGGTAGAGCACGGAAAAGAAGAGGGTGAGGAGATTGATGAAGATGATGTGGAAGATGAAGACGAGGGGGAGGAGGACTAGGACCAGTGTAAACCCAGAGTCATCAACGATGTTGGAATTAACCCTCCCTCCAAGCTCCCTCTTCATAGGCCCCTACAACGGTTCATTTCCATTGAGGGAACTGCTTCGTTGGAAGACAACCGTTTGAAGACCTTGAAGCATGCCGAGACATTGTCCTCGAGATTTCCACGCCACGGATCAACTTGACTGGTGCGTGCTGACGATCTGGAATCGTGCCAAAACGCCCTTTTTGGGACTGCAGCACCGCGAATCAACATAACAGTCGCGCCCGCATAATCCTGAATCCTTCCCAGACACCATGTCTGGTACGTTGATCATGGGAACCAGTGAAACTCTTGCAAGTGTTCAAAACGATTGTTCGCGGCTCTAAAGCGAGAGCCACATTTGAAAAACAACCGCCTCGATCGATGCAATTCTTGCAAATGTTTAAGAATAATGTGCGCGGCGCCAAGGCGAGAGCCGCTTTTTGAAAACCACCCGCCCTCAATCCGTGAAGGCCTTGCAAAGTTTTGAAACGAATGTGCGCTGTGGTAAGGCGAAACCAACATTCTGAAAACGACCCGCCCTCCATCTGTGAAGCTTTTGCCATTGTTTAGCTTCAGAGCCAGAAGTGTTGAGGAAGTATCAGGCGAAACGCCCGGCCCGCCCTAAAAATTGACCTCGTGGTGCGGCGGGGAGAAGTTATGTAGAAGGAAAAGGAATGGAGGAGGAAAGTACCCGTCTGCACGTTCCCCTTCATTGTTCCACGACACCCTCAGCGTGTGACACGTCGCGATAGTTGGACGACCGAAAATTTGCGATCTACCACCTTAGATTGTGACCCAAGGCTGGAACATATGTGCTTCTTGAATTCGGAAGAGGTCCTCACATTAGCGAACACGTTTATATGCGTGTACGTCGTGTCCTATCCGTGCAGGGGCGCTGTGTGCCCTCTTGTGGGGCAGACCTTGCACTTCATACAGTGCGTGTGCGTGCGTGCGTGCGTGGGCGGGCGGGCGTGGGCGGGCGGGCGTGCGTGCTTGCGTGTGCGTGTGCGTGTGCGTGTGCGTGTGCGTGTGCGTGTGCGTGTGCGTGTGCGTGTGCGTGTGCGTGTGCGTGTGCGTGTGCGTGTGCGTGTGCGTGTGCGTGTGTGTGCGTGCGTGTGTGTGTGTGTGTGTGTGTGTGCGTGTGTGTGTGTGGTGTGTGTGTGTGCGTGCGTGTGTGCGTGTGTGCGTGCGTGCGTGCGTGTGTGCGTGTGTGTGCGTGCGTGCGTGCGTGCGTGCGTGCGTGCGTGCGTGCGTGCGTGTGTGTGTGTGTGTGTGCGTGTGTGTGTGTGTGTACGTGAGTGTGTGTGTGTGTGGGCGGGCGGGCGGGCGGGCGGGTGGGCGGGCGGGCGTGTGTGTGTGTGTGTTTGTGTGTGCGTGTGTGTGCGTGTGTCCTGTGCTTGTATGTGTGTATGCTATTAGTCCGCTCTCTGACCGACTTACTCCGCCTCGTCGCTGCGCGCGAGGCCCCCAAAATATGTGTTTGGTTTGTGCGCGTATGTGCATGTGTGTGTGCTTTGAGTTCGAGATGGCTCCGATTTTAGACCGAATGGCCTTCGCCGCACTGCTCCACTTGGGCGACGCAGACACAACGGGGTCGACTGCGCGGTCATTCTCGCGTAAGCTGCCCGCATAGGGTCGCGCGTAAGCGCCCTTGATTCCATTGTGGCGTGCCGTGCTGGCGGCTCGCGTAAGGCACCGCGTAGGGTCGCTATGCAATCTTGCTTGAAAGCTGGTTTTTTTCGTCGCCCACTTGACCTCTGACGTTGCTCGTGGGCAGCACTGCTCCTGGGCGCTCCAGTGCGGGCCGGGCCCCTCGACAGTGTCTTTCGTCATGGGACCCGCATCGATCAGATATGCAGTGCACGATTCGTTGCCCAGGAGGCAGGGCACGTCTTCCTAGCTTCAGGTCACCCCCGTTGGTCGAATAATGAAAAAGGGCATAAGCATAATTGTTCTGAGCTTCCGCGCGGATTTCTTGAATCGGCGCTCGGCCCGCCTGGCGGCGCCTCCCGCGCCGCCTGATGTAGTTTTTTTTTCTCTAGTGGAAGATCTGTGCGGCGAGACTGACGGAGGGCAATGGATCGCACGTCCAACGACTAAATTGTTGAGCCTGGACTTGGCCTGAGATGCTTTTCGATCGAGTGTCGTACGGGGAGTTTTGTGAATAGAGCGAGGGATAGTCAGAAAGGACCAGGTCGCGTCACCCCCTGCATGCGCGATGGCCGATTCTCGCGGCGCCTCTCGCAAATCTTTGTGCTACCACTGCTTTGCTGCGTGCGCGGCTTCAATGATCGCATGTGGAGGTTCCTCGGCCTCTGGCAGTACGGAGACACCGGCTTAGGCGTCGGCTGGCAGGGCGTTGTTCCCCGGAAGGCGCGTGCGTGGGCAGCATCAGGAACGGGCATTGGTCAGAACACGGAACGACGCCCCCACCCCCAGTCCCACCAGTTTTTTCTTGTGTCCAGAGGCGGCGGCATTGTGGACAGAGCTGACCTTGCCAGCCATGCAGCCTCGTGAGGAAAGGCAACCTTCCAGCATCGCGAGCGAGACATATATCGAAGACGCGTACGGCGAATCCCTGCCGCCCATTGTGTTTCGGCAGCGCCTATGTGGCCAAGCGTTTGGACGAAGTCTTGCCACGCTGTTGGGCCATCTGTTCCCCGAGCCGTTCTGGAATCCCCTGGGGGAGCATTTAGCGGAGCAAGAGAGAGAAGGAGAGGGAGGAGAAAGATGAGGAGGATGAGGAGCATGCTTCTTGGGGCCTCCTGCGGGCTTCCTGGGAGCGTCTTTAAGGTTTTTGAAGGCCCCTTGGGGGCCTCCTTGGGCCTCTTGGGGGCCTCTGGGGCCTGTAAGGGGCCGCTTGGTCTTCGGATGCCGTCTTGCGGGCCTCACTGGACCGTCTTGGGGCCCTCGGAGGACGCCTTCAGGCCGTCTTGGAGGTTTCTTTTCTGGGCCGCCTTGGAAGCCTCTTGGGGCCGTCTTGGGGGCCTCCTGGGCCATCTTGGGGCCCTCATGGTCCGTCGCGGGGCTCTCTTGGAGGCCTTTGGGGCCGTCTTGAGAAGTCAGAGCCTGATAAGGCGATAATGCGGAACCTTCTATAAAACCTGAGGAACATCAGCGAGGTTGGCGTCTTAGGGCCGTGTTGGGGGCCATCTTGAGTCCATATTGGACGTCTTGTGTCCATCTTGGGCCGTCTTGGAGACATGTTGGGGCAATGTCGGACTCTCTTGGGTCATCTTGGCCGTCTTGGAAGCGGTCTTGGGGCCGTATTGGTGGCCATTTGGGGCATCTTGGCAGTATTGGAGGCATGTCTTCCAGACATGAAGCTTTTTCCGCATGGCCAGCTGGATGAACCGAGACCCCATTGGGATCTTTTTGGAAGGGTTCAAACGGTTAACCTTCGCAACACCAACCAGGCAACAGGGGGCCACGGATCGAATACGTATACGGGTATACGGAGAAGTATTGCCGCCCCTTGCTTTTTGGAAACGCCTATGTGGCCAAACGTTGGGCCAAAGTTTGGCCCAGCTATTGGGCCATGCATTTCTCCGTGATGTTTGCTGGCCAGATGGTCACTAATCATGTGATCTCTTCTGCGGGCAATGGTATTTCGAACATGGTTCGATTATCTGACGGGCTCCGAGCTTTTTTGGTGCCGCGGGGGTGTTTACAGTAACCAGACACTTTGCTGGAATCGCGACGTCGTGCTTGTGATTGGTGCAGCGATGGATCCGCAATGTGGTCAAGAGAAAGGCGAGTGAGGGAGGCGCACAAGATGGCGAAAACATCGTACAAGCAGGCGAGGCCATATTTGGATGGTCCCCGCGACTGGCTGAAGAGGCCACGCGCCTTGTTTTCTGCATCCTCGAAGCCGCTAGTGAGTGTGCACCCTGGCCCATGAGCGTGCATGCGCGCGTGTGCAGAAGCGCATGGCTTCTTGCTTCCCTAGGTGCTCGAGGAAGCATTCATCCGAGTTTCGAGGGGTGGTCGTATGGGCTTGGCTGCGTCAGCCAGTGCGCGTTGTTTGTCATCAGTGCGTGCGAACGAGATTCCAGGCTGAAAAATGGGACGGTGACCGGTTGCTTTTATCATGGGAATTGGCCCTTCGTTGGCGAGCGAAGAGGACCAGGAGGAAGACTGGGAGGAGGATGATCGTGTTCTCAGTCGCGCCGTCGCCGTCGACCTCTTTGACCCACCTGGGTGCCGCTCGCCAATTACAGTGGCAGTAGTGGGCTGTACCGCAAGTCTGCTGGTGACGGGACTCAGGGTGTTTCTATAGCCGCGGCCAGGCTTGCTGGGCCGATTTTCCACCACCGCTACTATAGGAAGGAGAGGGGAGGAGGAGGAGGAGGAGGAGGAGGACGAGGAGGAGGAGGAGGAGGAGGAAGAGGAGGATGAGGAGGAGGAGGAGGAGGGCGAGAATGAGGAGGGCGAGAAGGAGGAGGAGGAGGACCTCCCCATCCTTCCGTCTCCCGTCGTATCTATGGTAGTGCTTGTTGAAATTTGGCCCATCAAGGCTTGGCCTTTGATGCTGACGCTCGGCCTTGGTGCGGCGCCCCCCCTCCATCCTCCCTCGCCGCATCATCCGAGAACGTGGGCACCGTTTGAGCAGCTCTCTTCCGCGCGTGGTGTGCGCCCCCGCATATTGGAGACAAGACGTGGCATTACTGCTTATGGGGGTGCTGACATCCCCGCGTCGCGGCCAGCCGCCGTTGGCAGCAACGCGCAGTGATTGTGTCATGCGGTGGTGATATGGTCGGACCGAGGTAGAAGATCGAGGATGGTTCGGGGAGGGTGCCCTAATATTCTTCGTGTTTGTTGGATGTTCTTGTGCACTCTGGGACAGGGTACCCTCGAATATTCTTTAGTTGGGTTGGCGGAGGGTCTCATGTTCTAGAAGGATTGTCTTTTGGTGGTCTTGTCGTTGATGATGTGTATACATATATATATATGTACACATATATGTGTGTAGAGACATACGCATTTGCATACACAAAGCACCGTACTTTAATATAACCGGCGTCCGGGGCCCAGGCCCAGGGGCAGCACGCTCTTCCCAAATTCGCCCCTCCCTCCCTTGGTATCCACTTTTAGGCCAGGGGATGGCCAGGCCCTTCTCAAGATTCCAGGGTCTGTGTCTCGGCCCCGAGATGGGTGAAGACGCCCGCAAAGATATTTCGTCTCGGGGCTGTCAGGAGACGGCTCTGGACGAAGACCCGGTCCCAGGGAAGGCCCTGGTGTCCATTCATGACTCGTTTCCCTCATGACCCGTTTCGTACATGCTAAGTTGGGTGCATGGTTTGTTAGTTGGACGTCGCTTGTCATTACGCACTACGTTTGTCACCGTCAGGCCACTCTCATTAGTGATTGCTCCTCAGGGCTGGAACCAGAAACGGATGAGACAACATGCACGCACACTTTGTGATCACCACTTTTGTGATCCAGTAGTGGCAACATTCGGGCAGGCTATATATTGCTTTGCACCACATCGCCTAAGTTGAGAAGCATGGCAGTTCGGTTCTGCATCTGTGCTCCACTCACCGCAAACACTAGAGTATGATGATGAGGGGGTTGGTGAGAGGAGGGTTGAGGAAGCCGGGAGGATGAGGATCATCATGGGAATAATCGTGACTAGGAGGAGGTGAAGCAGGAGCCTAATGAGGATACGAATGCGGAGGCAGAGGCAAGTGACAATGATGAGAGGAGTCGGAGGAGCAGAGGCCGATGACAATTAGCACAGGATTCGGAGGAGGATATCGAGCTGAAAGCTCATGAAGAGCAGGCTAATGTGGAAACTGAGCAGTATAACGGTGAGGACGGGAATGGAGACTGAATCACAGAAGTCGGAGTTTGAAGCATAGGGCGGAGGAGGTGAAAAGTAAGACGAGGACCCGTCGTGCCCCGCACCGATCCCTGTCAGGGTTGATCCGAAGAAGCTCGTGTCCAAGATCAGGCCGCAGCTGAAGCAGGCCACTGGAGGGAAGCAGCTAGAGAGAATTGCGTCGCCAGCCCCACTCTGCAGAAGCTGCCCTCTTCTTCCGGCTCCTCCTCGTTCACATTCTCCTTCCCGCGCCTTTCCGTTTTTTGATTATCATTGTCCCCCTCCCCATCTTATTCTAGATTCTTCGCGTGATCCCACCAGCCCATCTAGAAACGATTCTCGGGCGAGGTGCCCAGATCAGGGATGTGGAGGAGCATGCTGTGTAATAAGAGGGCAGGGGAAGCCGTCATACCCAAGATGGGAAGGATGGAGAAGGAATCTGGGAGGAGGGGGAGGAGGGGTAGGAGGAGGAGGAGGAGGAGGAGGAGGAGGAGGAGGAGGAAGAGGAGGAGGAGGAGGAGGAGGAGGAGGAGGAGGGAGGCGGAGGGAAGGAGGGAGGCGGAGGGGGAGGAGGAGGAGGAGGAGGAGGAGGAGGAGGAGGCGGAGGGGAGGAGGAGGAGGAGGAGGAGGAGAGGAGGAGGAGGGGGGAAGAGGAGAAGGGGGAGGAGGAGGAGGAGGGGGGAAGGAGGAAGGAGAAGGGAGGAGGAGGAGGAGGAGGAGGAGGAGGAGGAGGGAGAAGGAGGAGGAGGAGGTGGAGGAGGAAGAGAAGGAGGAGGAGGGGGAGGGGGAGGGGGAAAAGGGAGGATGCAGGAGGAGGAACAGGCGGAGGAGGGGAAGGAGTAGGAGGGCGAGCAGAAAAGCCAGAGGCCTCTTGGATGCCTCTCGGAGTCTCTTCTAGTGTCACTTGAAAGCATCCTGGAGTCCTTTTAGGGCGTCTTAGGGGCCTCTTTGCGGTCCTGGGGGCCTCTTGGAGCGTCTTAGGTGCCTCGGGGGAGCCTCTTGGGGCCTCTCGCGGGTCTCTTGGGAGCCTCTAGGGGACCTCTCGGGGGCGTCTTGAGGCCTCCCAGCAGGCGCCTCTTGGGGCCCTCTTGGGGCACTCGTGGGAGCCTTGGGGGTTATCTTGGGGCCATTTTGGAGGAGGTCTTTCAAAGAAGGGGGAGGTTCAAATAGCGCCCCCCGCCCAGGAGGCCAACATGAACCCCCAAATTTATGACTCGCCTCGCGGGGTGCACGTCTGGAGCACGGCAAGACTGGGCTTCGGTCAGACGGGGCTATGACGAGGATAAATCCGTTCCGAAGCGTTCCGGAACGCTCTCAGAGAGTTCCAGACCGTTGTGAGAAGGCTGCGGCGCCCGAGAGATCCTCCAGAGCCGCTGGATCTCAGAAATGCTCGATCTATCCCCCCCCGATTTTATCCTCGTCATGGCTTCGTCTTCTCGTCTGCCCGGCTTGCGCCACATCCGCCGACCCCCATGTGTAAACTAATGGGGGCAAACGATTTGGAATATGCCCCACCCCCACCCCGCCGCCCCGGGGACCCCAACATGAGTGAGTGAGGCAAAACAATTTAATAGAATTCACCCGCTGGGAGCTGCTTTTTGATCGTCTGCCCCTTTTGGCGTTTTATTTTGCCGCCTTGCGGAAACAGATTTTCTATTCGCCCTCCTGCGTTCGTTTGATCACCCGCGGCCGCGAGAGGAGGATTGCGAAGAGGGGGCGCCGGAAGCGCCGCTAGGGAGTCCCAGCGCAGATCCAGGAAGTCCACGGAGGACCGCAACAAAAAATATGTGCATGCAGTTTGTTTCATCCCCGACTTAAGAAACAACCTGAGGACGGCCCAGCTGTCGTCCTCGCGGACGGCGGTTGGAGCTTGAAAACGCAGCCAAGGCAGCCGTGGGAGCAGCGTGCCGGAAGAACCGAGCAAGTTCGGATTGAACAACAGATATGAACAACACACTCCCCCAACCTTCTCTGTAAAAACATAGCACGCGGGAGGGTTCGAACCGAGCGGAAGCTCGAACATGAGGCCAGCGTTACAGCGGGAACAACATGTCCGAAGAGCCGAACACGTTCTGTTTGAAAGCAAATCTGAGAAACGGATTCGCGCCAAAACTTCGTGTAGTTACAAACGCAATATGCGGTGCGGTGCAGGCAATCTTCCGGAGTGCATCAGGGGAGAACGGGGAATATTATTCATATTGAATAACTGTAGAGGAACAGTAACTAGCAGGGGGCAGGTGACAAGGGATAGAAGAGTGAGGGGAAGGAGGAGGAGGAGGAGGAGGAGGAGGAGGAGGAGGAGGAGGAGAGGGAGGAGGGGGAGGAGAATAGGAAGATGAGGTGGGAAAGGAGGTCGCTGTCTGAAGGCGGCGCAGAATGTCTGCCTTCCGCGCAGGACTGGCGGATCAGACATTTCTACTTCCCAATCAGGGCTGGCCAAAAGTAATCCCCGCGGCCTCGAATTGTCCGCCCTTGCGGATTCGAATCGTCAGCCCGCGAAGTCCTTCCCAGCTTTTGCTTGCCCGGCTCTGAATTGACCCCTCGCCCCCCCGCCCTGAATTGTCAGCCCCGCGCCCTCCCCCGGGCTTCCAGACAACACGGGATTGTCCGCTCTCCGTCTGCCTGCCCCGCCCCCCCGCTTTTGCGGTGGCGCGGAGGCCCGCGAAACTATTTGTTTCATCGTCCGCCCCAGAAACTTGTTTTAACCGCTTGTTCTCATTACTGCGCCTCCAGGGCTGAAGTCCACGGCGCTTCTTTCCGAATTAGGGCGCGGCCACGCCGTCGGCGGCGTGCCTTGTTGCTGTTTTCGTACGTAGTCTTCTTTTCGTTGCCGTCGCGCGACGCTGCTGTTGCTGCGCCTTGGTTTGTTGCAATCATCGCTGTCGCTGTTGTCGTCGTCGTTGTCGTTGTCGCCGTCGGTCGGCGTCGCTTTTCTTCGTCGTCGTCATCATCGATATTGTCGTCGTTGTTGTTGTCGTTGTTGAATTCGCATGCTTTCATAACACTTATTGTTGATACCCCCTCCGGTGCCCACTGGTTTCCCATTGGTGTGCCTTTCCTGGGGTTCGCACCCTGTTTTGTCCAACCATCCTGTAGCGTTGTGTCTTCGTTTTGAAGAGACAAAGCCCCGCATCCCTCCCTCCTCTGCAGAACTTGCTCCCAATTGAGTCCGCCTGTCTGTTGCTCTGTCGCTTAGACTTTTTGGCTCAATCTCTGCTCCCTGCATGTGGGAGCATATTTACGGCTGGCTGCCCAAACTTCTCGACCTCTCCCTACAGTCTGCTGTGTCGGCCGCCATCTGCGCGCGGCACGACACTGGTGAATCTCTCCTGTCCAGCGCCGCCGCCAGCGCAGGTCGATTTGCACTGCCCCCAGGTGCGTACCCCGCCTGTCCACGTGGAGTGCGTGGCGAGCGGCCCTGGTCTCATTGGGTACCTGGCGTACGAGATCGCGGTGATTGGTGTTTTCGTCGCCAACTGGGTTTGTGGGGCTCTCCTCGCGGTACCGACCTGGCTCTGCGCTGGACGACGTGCTGCTCGAACCGAGCAGGAAAAATCGGTGGCTGTGACGCCCGCCCCCGATCACGACTTGCAGGATCTCGCCCAGAAGCAGCTGGCCTTCATCCACGCGCGTCGGCATGGCGAGAGCAGGTGATGTGCTCCTCCTCAAGTGCAATGTACCTGGGGCGGACCTCTGGCATGAGAGGATCGTGCTGGCGGTTCACCCCACCGACGCAGGATGGGGATGCGTATGTGGAGGACTGCTCCCCCGCCTCACCAGACGTTGAGAGAAGATCCGCGTGACGGTGGGCCTTGGGGATACACCCCACGGTCTTCAGGGGGCCAGCATCTACCGTTTCAGAGGCCCCCCTGCCATCGAGGAGCTGCGCCAGCACTTCATCGATGCGGCCTTGGCGCTCGGACTGCCAGCCCCCGCGGACGGTCTCCGGGTGCGACGTGTCGGAGGTGAAGATATCGTTCCTCGAGCTGGACCTCCGCCGCCACAGGGGCCCGCCGACCGCCGACGTCCCGGTCAGGGGGTCCAGGCGGCGGGCCTCGCCGCCCCCGCCCCGCGGGCGGACCTCGTCTGGGTCGCGGCTGAGGACGCCGAGGACCTGCCGAAGGGCACGGAGATGGAGCTGACGGCCGACACCATCTCAGCGGGAGATCGCGCCATCATGCCGTGGAAGGGGGGCTACGTCTTCGTGAGGCAGCTCAGGCGCCCTGAGGTGCATCGTTTCACGCATGATGATATTCGGGTTCAGCCTGTGCTTTTCGATGCGGGCGGGTCGAGGCGCGTCGGCTTCAGTGAGGGCGCGCAGAGACAGGATGATACCCTGCCCGCTGGCGGCCTCGACCGACAGGGCCCGCGCACGGCCGCCTGGTTCTGCAGGCGCATCGCGGAGAACGGCCCGACGCCCCAAGCGGCGCGCGAGGCCTGGCTTCGCAGGGCCAGGCTGCACGAGGGGGATCGGGCCATCCACGAGCACTTCATCCTGTCGCAGGCGCTCGCTGCCGCGGTCTGCCACGATCAGCTCAACGCGCCAGCGCCGAAGTGCATGGAGCTCGTCACCGGGAGGCTCCATCTGATCAGGTCAGCCTACGCGCAGTCGGCCTCTGCGCCCGACTTCTCGGGGGCTGGCCATTTCATGGGGCGGGGGCCAGCCGCGGCCCCCGCCTCAGTGGCGCCCGAGCTGGCGGCGCACGTGGCTACCAAGTCCAGGGGCGAGGCCGCCATCCTCAAGGAGTCTCGGAAGGCTGCCGAGGAGCGGCGCACCGAGCAGGGCAAGGGAGGAGGTCGAGGTGGCAGAGGCAGAGGTGGAAAAGGAGGGCTCGCCCCGGCCGACGGGGAGGGGGGCGAATGATCCCGCCGCCTTCCGGCTCGCGGACCTGGCCCCCCCGCGCCGCCTTGCCCAGAGACCCCGCCCCGGCAGGTTTTGAGAGGCATGTGGATGCTAGTCGCCAGCGTGACCGATTTCCACTGCCAGCTGCTGAGGTGGGCGAGCGTCCTGGCCCGTGCCTGTCCTCCACCGCGTTCAAGCGTGTGTCGAGGAGGCGTGCGAGACAGCTACTCGCCAATGGGGTCATTGACGTGCTCGACGACTCGTCCTCCACGGCTGCCATCTCTTCTTCTCGACCGACGGGCGTG